CATATATATATATATATATATATATAGGTGAGGTATATACGTATAGCTGAAAGTCAACGCTGATGCTGTTGTAATTAACTTTTCTGCTCTGGTCCCTGCACAACAGCACTTTGCCTATACACACACGTGTACGTGTTTACATATACTTATCATATTATAAGCGAGTCCATGGGTCGCGCCAATGCCGCGTTTCGCGTTTAGTCACTTTCGTCACTTTTGCTTTCGATATGTAATTATATGATACTTACACGCATAGGCGGTGTGGTGTGTATACATACAGTGTGACACACGCGCGCACACTCACCTCGATGGGCTCGACTATACGCGCTTGTGTTTAAGAGCTATACGTATATATATGTATATTACTCGCTACATGATAATCGTGAGGCCGAGTTAACGTTGTCACTTTTTAAGAAAATTGTGTTTTGTACGGTTAAGTTGGTCTATACTCATTTTTCGAAGGTAGTTTGGTATGGCCAAGGAAGCGATCATGTCCCGAGTCAAATACTTTGTCGCGATGTACTCTGGGAATGAAAATTTGCATTTTCGAGTCTAATAGAGGGACGTGGGTACCTATATATGAACGCAACTACGATAAATCATAATTATTTGTTCGTATGATATTTCAAAAACACGTTTATGTAAATAATAACAATAATAATGATAATGTAGAGCAGGTACATCACACGTGCCTGGGTTAATGGCAAATAAAACGAAAACGCCGCGTATCAAGACGACCGAGACAAGACGAATCGTAGGGACATACATGTATGTGTATATACGTGTGTAGAAAAGTTACGAAGCGCATCACTGAGCACGACGACGATGGCGACGGTGGACACGAAACCTTCATTGCGGCTCGCACCGGAATACACGTGCATGTACTTATATAGACGTGGATATACGCGACCGTCTTTCCCCACCCCTTTACTCTATATAGACCGCAATCGAATGTTAATTAATCTTAGCGCCAACGTGCAATTACAGCTCATCTGCAAATGACGTGTGTGTACGTGTGCACGATTGTATGGGTATGTCAATGTTGCAGCAATCACTGCTTATGGGTAGGTATACCCATAGTATATACTATAAGACTGCAAGGCCGGCTCATCCGATTTTTCCCGTACAGTGGCTCTCTCTCGGTCTTTTTTTCCATCTTTTCCTTTACGTATGGGGTGTACGAAGGGTAAATATATATCGCTATCATTGGCTGATGATGCGAACTGAATTAAAGCCAAGAAAAGTGCACGAGTAAGATTATAACGCGTGTGAATCTGTGAGGATACGCATGATTTTTCTCTCTCTCTCTCTCTCTCTTTGTTCGCCCTTACTTTTAGTAGGGATGTGTGACGATTAAAAAATTCTCTGATGTGTTTGTAGATTATTTGATCTTTTCCAAACTTTCACACGAATAATTAAAATTTTTTTTATTTTTGGAAAAAATCGTCTCAAAAATAATGTAGATTGCAGGTACAGTTGTATCGTGAGTAAATAGATACTACCACCTGGCAACATTATCCCCTTTCCTTACCACACCCCAGCTTAACAGTTAACACATGTTATATACACATCGACCAAAAAAATGAGCAGGGCAATAAACGATTGTTCATTTTCTCTTTTGGGGAAGAAGAATCGGGCAACAGAGAGGGAGATAAGTGACGTTTTCCCTCGTACAGGGGGGGAGTAAGTAATTTTTTCTAGCTTCGCGCTTTTCTTCTATACCCGCCAGTATTCATTCTCGATTCTCCCTTTCTTCCCCCGTAAACGCGCAAGTGAAAGAAGAGCAATTAAGACAATATACGCGTGTACGATGTAGTACATACGTATTACTGGGGGAGAAATTCAGATCTCGATTCGGTGCCTCTTGTTTATCAAACTCTTATCGAGCACACGCGCACACGCGATTAGTCGCGTGCTAATTTTATTGGCATAAATACGGTTGGATCCATAAACGCGTATGCGTATACTTAAAAAAAAAAAAAAAAAAAAAAAAAGGGTCTACGACGTAGACATTTACTCGCGAATATGCAGGCAGATATAACACACGTATACCTCTAGCGTTCAATGCAACACCGCGTAAATATGATAATATAGACGTCACCTACTGGCCTCGTGTAGATTTTATCTCGAGATATTATACATATCGGGCCGTAAGTACGATAAATTTTTTATCCGGATCGATTTTGACTTCGAATTGTTGATTGTAAACAAAAGAACAAATAGATTTTTTGACCCATTTTACCATATTATTTGCTCCCGCCATTTTAACGATAAGCTTCTACACATTTTATTCGTATAGTGGAACTTGTTCAATCCCAAAATGCAGAGTCACTTTTCTACACGCTGTACAGGCTGTTAAACCACGAGACCCTGTTGAAACCATACCCATACGTATCTGACAGTAGTGCCGGTGTAAGTATGTATAGGTATACATTGCAGTAGACACAATGGTATGTAGGTATAGTGGAGGACATTCATGTGTTAATGGATTTATATGTGACACACCACCTGCATGGGGTTTTACAAGTGACTGGTCAATTTTAAACATTTTTGTCTTCTTTAGAGGTAAATTATATTATTTTTATCTCGTACGAAACTCTCGTACGTATCAGGTGGCGTTCGTAAACTGGAGTCAAATTACGCGATGGTGTCATATAAACGAGAAGCTCCCGTCACGTGTACACGTATCTTTATTCCAGGCGCTTTGTGTACATCTCGTTTGTATCGTAAGTATAAGTTCATTTAGTATTTTTTTTTTTTTTTTGACGACAATCAACTCGGAAATTGCTCGCTTGACCAATGATCACTATCATCAGCAGCCCAGAGAAATAAAATACACCGAGAGAGAAAGAGGGAGTCTAAGTGCTTATCGCCGCCTTCGTATATATCCCCGATTATGCACGTGAAAGGTGAGTCTGGCGCACGAAAAAGAGAGAGAGAAAAAAACCCCTCGTTTTCAATACAGATGAAATTGATGTGGCTGATTTCAATCTATACCCATCACTGATATACACAAAGGGAAGTAACTACACGTGGTCGTGTTGCTCGAATTTATAATTAGGTTTTTTCTCTCTGCTCATGGCCAAATTGTAATTGACAGGTGCGCGTTTTCCGATGCCGTTACTGCGACCGATGGTTACTATACGTATCGGGATCCAAAGGGCCAATTAATCAAGTTTACCAGGCACTTTTTGTCGAGGATAAAGGAAAATGAACGAAAACGCACTAATGATTAAAATAGCGAAAAGAAAGTGGTGATTTGTGCGTATGTATTAATATTAGAACTCTTACATTTTAGGCTTGTGATCGAAGAGGAAAATGCACTGCATTGTAATGTATACTCGGTATCAGGGAGGGGGGGGCTTATATGTATTATTTTTTCCTCGATTCTTAGCAACAGTCGTCAGGCGTCCGATAAATTTTACGACGGTACGCGCTCGATCGTGCACAACCCGCGCTTTATCTCGTATGGAGAGCTGATGAGAAACCCTGGTAGACTTTTTTTCGCGACTTTACGAAACTTTGGGTCGTAAAAGACAGAAAAATGCGGAATACATAAAAATATATGCATGTTTTTTCGATTTTTCTCACTCACTTTTGTTGCAACGATTAAACGCAGTGGTTCGATTTTTTTTTTTTTTTTTTTTTTGCATTTTTATTATTTTTTTTTTTCACATCGAACTATATACATGTATAAAAATAGCACTCGAGTGGTTTATAAATATAGAAGGCAGAGATTCATCATGTAAAAATATCTATCGATTCTCATGAATAAAAGACGAAGGAGAAATGATGATCGCCGAAGACTAATGACTCGATTGCTATTGACACATATAACTGCTAGCCTGAATAATCATTGTTTTTGGCCCACAAAACCAACGGAGCAAGTACATGCATGCATATTAGTATCAAGGTCTACTCAAAGAAGGAGAGTTGCATAACTAAACCGCGGCTGGTTTAAAAATTAATCACAGAGCTTTTTTTTTCTCCTTTGGTATGAAAAATATACACATTTCTCATGTACGTCTCAGTACGCGGGTATATCAAAAAAACGGTATGTATAAGTGTTGAGGGTGGAAAAAAAAAAAAAATAAAAAAATAACAAACCTGGGAGCATTGATGATCGGGCGTCCCATTGCCCGCTGCTGGCGCTTCTCGTTGTTGGGGAGGCGCAGGTAGTCTTGGTCGCCGAGGAGGAACAGGTCCTTTGAAATAATCATGTCCACTGCAGCGCCGAGTTGGCTGCGACACTGCCGCCCCCAAGCGACTCTATTGCTCCTTGCTGCGCCGTCCTTGCGCCCCCGCCTCCTCCTTATCTTCCCTCGTCTGCTTCCACTGCCGCAACAACTGTACGACTGCCCTTTTCTTTTCTTATTTTATTTTTTACTTGGTTTTCGATAAACACCTCGTGCCTTTCAACCGAGTTCGTCCACTCCCTTTTTATCCGACGACGAGAACAATCACCGACATGAGCTTCAGCGTCTGGTACACGCGAAGGGGTGACGAGTAAAACACGAGTGCCCGGCTTTGGTGGTAGACGAGAGCGCGAGGCTCGAGGGCAGTGACGAGGCTATCATGCCTGATTGTCATCCGCTCGTGTGCGTTTCTGCAAACGATTGTTTCTCCGATTTTTTTTTGGTGCTAGTGGTACTGTCACTGGCTGGTAACTGGTTCCTCTTCTGGCACCTAGAAAACAATTTTTTTTTTTTTTTTTAATTAGTTTTTACCAGTACACGATTTAGATTGCTTTTTTGTCGTGTTGAGGGGCAAACCAAGAGACGCTGATACTACAGTATACCCATGTAACAGCAGCTGCTTTTTTGTTTCAACTCTTTGTCCCGAACCGCATGGATACAAGGACACGCGACACATTGACAAAGGACTCTAGTTGTTTTTTCACCAATCACGTACCGAGTGGGTTATACCTTATTATTATTATTGTCATTACATGGACACTCGAAAAGCGAAAGTTCGACGGCTCGAAATTACGCTCAAAGATAATAGCTACTGGAAAATTGGCGAGTTGTTTAGATTAGTTGTACAACTAAGTACATACTAGTAGCATACACGAGCTACGTATTAGGGCAAGCTTTTTCTTTTCTTTTTTTATTTCCTTCTTGGTTCGCTATAAACTTGTAAATGCTCGGGCTTTTTTTTTTATGTTGCTCGCGTCTATACGTGTCTACGCTATTAAAATTAACGCTCTCCTTGCGTTGGGTTTTGCTACTTCTTCTTCGGTACCTACGCGATGCCCGACCAAATGCAGTTCAGCCCGATTGTTGGAAAATTAACGATCGTCATCGAGGATTTTTTTGTTTTTTTCAGCACGAAGCGTCGGAGTGGGTTACGATGTACGAAAAAAAAATACGATACTCCTCTCCGTCGGGGAGAGTCGTAAATTCTTCCACATCCCGAAACGGCTCGTAAAAACCGAGCAGAGCGCGACAAAGGGAGAAAACTCTCGTCGAAATTTCCAAAATCGCAATCCCCGCCACATCGATCGAACTATGATTTGTTCGGGATGAAGAGAAGCACCAAACTCGCGGACGCGCACAGCAGAGCTTGAGGATCGCGCGGGGAAAAAAAAATGAGCGCCGAAAAAGATAAGCAGGGTGCCAGAGCGCGTGTACGCGCGAGTCAAGATAATCGAGACGAGAAGAAAGAGAAGCAGGAACGAGAGCGGGAGAGCAAAAAAAAAGGAAGAAGAAGAAGAAGGAGATAGAGAGGAAAATAACGATGAAATGGACAGAGAGAGAGAGAGAGAGAGAGCGGCGCAGTTTTTAGCTCGGGTTCAACAATCTGTGTCAAACACAAACAAGGCGGCTGCGCTGCTTCTCCGCTCTAGAGTGGATAGGTATACATATATACAACGCGTGTGCGTTTGTGTTAGCTTGGAGCAGAAGTTGTACGTGTGTATACGCGTCACGAGGGCGTTAGATCTTTTTTTCCTTTTTTTTTTTTTTTTTTTTTTTTTTTCGCGAATAGTGCACTCGCGGATATTTTTGTAATTTTTCATTTCGCGATACGATATCCAGCCCTAGTGTGTCGAGTCTTTGGTAGAAAGCGCTGTTCCAATTTCTTTCACTCGCGACTGCTTTTCTATGGTTTTTATAGCGGTGAGGTGAGTCAAAATATTGTTGATTAACGTCACTTTGGACGATCGATCAATGAGTATACGTGAATGGTCGTTGAAGCGTAAAGAGTAATCGTTTAAAATGCACACGAGTCAATCATCGCGCGTCGAATTACGTCTGTAATTCATTTGCACTTGACGCACCTTTTATCGCGTTTTTTTTTTTTTTTTTTTTTTTTATACATTATTATCATTGCACGTGCATCGTAGTCTCCCACCGGTTGTTTGTACGAGTATAACAATCTTTTGGAAAACATCTCAATCGCCCGTACAAACGTGCGTTCTCCGCGAATCACGGCTAATGCTTTATTGGGTACAGGTGTCACTTTTTTTTTTTGTTCGCTTATCGTGTACGCGACATGTCAACATTTCTCAACTCGATTTTCGAACCATAAACTCGGAAAAGCTCGAAAGCCGAAAATAACAAAATTCTAATCAATCAAAAGCTTATTGTCAGATATTTATCCCCGTAGATGTTCAAGCCAATAGCATTCGGGTAACCCGTTGAATTGTAATTTGACTGCAATTAAAAAAAAAAAAAAAAAAAAAATTAAAATTAAACAAATGTACAAGTAATCCACTACTTTTATTTATCGTATACAATGCAGGTACTCGAGGTATACCTGTATGATCACAAAATTGCAGAGGATCACCATGTACTAGCAGAAGCAAGTAGATGCATCGGCAACGGCAAACCCCCAACAGCCGGCATGCAAATCCCGAGGAAAAAAAAAAAAAAAAAAAAAGAGCAAGAGTATAAAGTAGTGGTATATAGCAGCAGACATCCGCTAAAACCGTTGGCTCGCGCAAATAGTCGGCTAATAGTGCTTGCGGCCGCGTGCGTGCGTGCGTGCCCGTCTTGGCTGCTTGTACATATGTATATAACATATACGTATATAGGATTGTAAGCGAGCAAGAGAGAAAGAGGCTTCGTTCCTTTCCCTTTCAGCCTAATATACCACGCCGAGTATGCATGCAGTGTGTTGTCTTATATAGGTTGCACACCTATACACGTATTTTACGTACACAACATAATATGTTATACTTGCTGCACTCTTGAAAGCTCCGTTTCTTCCTCTCTCCCTCTCTTTATCTCGTCCTCGCGTTATTTGCACCTCCTATATAAATATGAGAAGCAGGAGGAGCTTGCAGGGGAGACGTGCCTTGTCTTATCGGTGTCATAGAGTGTTTTTTTTACATGACGTATATATGTAAATATATATCTATATGTGGCGGTTAACTAAAATAAGGGAGTGCAGTGTAGGTGCACATGCAAGGGATGAGAGCGAACAATGTTATTATTTAAATCTGTCGATGCTGCTTCGAGGGAGAGAGAGAGAGAGAGAGGAAAAAAAAGAAGCAAAAGTTTCAATTGTATACTATACGCCTTCTTGCTCGGAAACGATGGCGATCGATGGGTGATTGACTTTTAGCGATTCGCGATAGATTCACTGTAGGTATACCATAGTATTGGTGTACACATATTATAGACGTTGGGATTGGAAATAAATGGCGAGTTGAAAAAGAGAGAACACCTTTTTATGATCTCAATCGGTGATATTACCGGGCACCCCTCACCCACTCGTTATTAAACTGATGGTGTACCAGCACCCCTGAGAATATGTAGGTATATGATGTATGAAGGAATCGATTAACAAAACTCAAAAGTCAAAATCTCGAAAATGCATGTAGCATCATCACCTTTATTGCACCGTTTGGGTATACAATAGTACCTGCAGGTATATATAGCACCCAACAACAACCCCCTTATTTTCCTCCCCCTCGCTCACCTTATCCCTCCATCGTCGTCTCGTCGCTCCTTATCCGGAACTGTTCACCTGCTTTGACGCAGCTTCTTCCCATCGGCAGTTTGCTCCTTCGGGTGAACACGAGAAAGCATATTACACCTTTACATACACCATACACGCATGAGCCGCCTCTGGTGTTGCAGCATCAGCACACACACGGGTAGTATAGGCACTCGTCGAACGGGAGGCGCGAAGATCTCTCTCTCGCTCTCTCTCTCTCTCTCTCTCTTCTAATCGTTCACTGACCCCTTCCTTCTTTTCCTGCCTACTCAAAGCCTACACAAGTATACATACGTAAGTATGCGTACACACTTTTACATAACAACAATTTGACGGCACACGCTTGTGATGTACGTTATATACCCCGCGAGTACTATATAATAATATGAGAGCCAACAGCTGCACGATCTCCTTCTCTTACATGACGTATACTCTGACGATGGATGATCACTTTTGGTGGTGCAGTGTATATATATATATATATATATATATATGTGTGTGTGTGTGTGTATAGGTAATGTCTTCTTTTCTCCACCTCCCCCTGCTGTTGTTATTATTTTTACGCGGATAGGGCGAACCGGAGCACACCTACACCAGGACGCGTCTATACAACTACTATTGCTGCAGCGGTGGTAGTTGTGGTGTTACGTGCCGGTCGATTTTTCCTCGCTTCTCCTCCGCCTCTTCTCGCAGCAGCTCTCTCTCGTCAGTCGCCGTGCAGAGTATAGGTGTACGTATATATGTGTATACAGTCCACTCAACTGCACCCTTTTACCCGCATACACTCGCGCACTCGCACATATATATATATAT